ACGGACCGCTCCAGGCTCAAATGCAGAAGGCGGTGCTCCTCGATACCGCCCGCATCGTCCGCCGGTTGCTTTCCCTTTTCCCCTAACACTCGGTCGTTTGTTCTCTTCTGCTGAGGGCTTCTATCTGGTTGGATTTTTATTTATTTATGTATTTATTTTATTTTATTGATATTTATGTATATTTATATCTTTAGTTTACAATTATATATTTAAACAGCCCAACCGGATAAGAAGACTTTATAGATAACCCAGATAATAATATAATAAATAATAAAATATACAATATATATAACATAAATAATATCATTATTTAATAAGAAAATTTAAAAAAAGAACCAGGATGTAATTTTTCTTGAAATTTTGTCTTATCCTCGACTTACTGCAACGTTTCTTAAAATATCATCAATTGCAAGACTTCTGAACACTAAAATGCAAGAAAAAGGCTGGAGATTTGTTTTTTTTTTTTTTTTTTTTTTATAGAATAAGGTGACAAACGAGCACACAGTCTACCTGATGGTAAGTGGTTGCTGTGGCCCATAGACATCTACATTTATCCTCGTTTGTGAATCAAAATGCAGATGCGTTGTCACCCGTGAGGACTAAGATGAAATGCCTCTAGATGTTGCTACTGGAAAAAGGTTAGCAATATTATCGATCGTCTAAAATCGAAATGTTAGAATGCGGCTTTTATAGGGACGACTACAAATTAGAATTTCAACCATATACGTGAAATAGTCTCCGAGAAAATCGTCTGTGATAGAGAACAGACAAAAAGGGATATACCTGTATTTTTTTAAAGATTTAATGTATTTAATGCGACTTCGTATGGGAGTTATAACAGATGCTGGGTGGCTGTTACTTTCATCACAATTTTTTTTTAATTTTGCAATAGTAAAAGAAATTGATGTAATGGGGACATTGCCATCAATATCACCAAAATATAAATACGATGTGTTAACACTGTATCACATCTGTTTCTGTTGCGTAATTGCATTAGCTTTTTTACTCGTACATTATCAATCGAACACATAAAACGACGAAAATGTTTACACACTCAGAAATGAAAAACTGTATTTGTGTAGGATGGGAATGAAATTTGAGATTTATTCTTGATTTGAGTTATAAATGCTGAACAATAAAATCTCATGACAGCAAACACTGTCTTTCTAATAAAATAACAAAAATATTTCGAAGTTTTAAGATCATATTAATTGTATCTGTAGTGTAACGCGACTCTAACTGTAGACTACCTGCGGCGTTATAAGTTTCTTGGGGCAAATCAATTAGAAGTGGACTCAGCGGGACTTTGCCGGTTCAAGTTTAACCCTATAAAACAATAAATTAGTTTTATGTAACAGTTGCATAATTGTATTATAAAGTTTTATTTCAGAGGTCTGTATTTGATACGAATTTATCTAGTAAATTTATAACGCATCTTAGATAACATACATACATATTTATACGATACTAACTATCCATCCGCCTCGGCTTCGCACGGTTGATTTCTGGATCTCAACAGCAGTGCTACCGGGTCTAACTGTGATTCACAAAAAAATTGATTAAAATCGGTCGAGCCGTTTTCGAGTTTTAGTGAGACTAACGGATAGCAATTGATTTTTATATATAGAAATAAAAGTCAGTAACAATTTGGTCTAAAGTTAAATGTTACTTGAAGGTTTATAGCAAACAGGGAGTAAGGATTTATGTCACAATACCAGATAAATATTATTTCAGCAAAGTTGATCTTTTGTCTCTCGGTGGAGATTATAATGTTAGTATGATTGACTGACTTTTGGCGATAAGGTATAATAGATGGCTTTGTGACAACTCCATTCTGATTATTAACGCGTTAACTATTTTTATTTAAGAGGGGGCAGAAGAGCATGCGCCTCACATGATGGTAAGATGTCGACCGTCGCCGATGAACAACTGAAACAGTGAAATTTCCGGCATTAACGTTACAAAATCGTCAATCAAATCAATTAAATTGTTTTATATACTTCCATAGAGTAAGCCAGAGACTGGAGTGTTTCATGTTACTACTTGAAAGCTTGAAACCTTCATAAATATAACATCGTGTAAAAATTATAAAAAACACCAAAACTATATTAATTTATGTTATATCATTTGTGAACATATTATGTACATATTGTGGTATTACTTATCATACAAATATTTTATACGTGGTAGAGCCATGCTGCAGCTATATTAGTAGTATAGTTGTAGCAGGAATGGGTCGGTTCGACCGGGGTAGGACCACGCTCTCACAGAATACCAGCGTAAAACAGCAGCTTAACACTGCTGTGATTCGTATGGTGAGTGTAGAGAACCGGAGACCCTTTTTACTGGAAAAGAGGCATTCCATATTAGTCCTCACGGGTGACAACGCATCTGCATTTTGATTCGCAAACGAGGATAGATGTAGATGTCTATGGGCCACAGCAACCACTTACCATCAGGTGGACTGTGTGCTCGTTTATCACCCTATACAATAAAAAATACATTATTTATAATTTTTTTATTCTAAATTAATTTGGTTTTGTATTTATGTGTCAACTGCTTACATACACTTTATTTAATATTTGAATCAGCCTTAGGTCGACTGGTAGAGAAAACAACAGGCATTAAGTCCACCTATAATATATATCTTTCATATATAAAGTAAGCAAATGAAATAATTTTCATAACTTTAACATTTTTGTGAAAATGTAGTTCCTGATGGGCTTCTGTGTTAATGTAAGAAGATAATGAAGATATTATCTTTATATATAAAAATTACGTGTCAGATTGTTTGTCCGCGATGAACTCCTAAACTACTGAACTGATTTCAATGAAATTTTGCACACTGTGCGCAGTTTAGTCCAACTTGAGAGATAGGATAGTTTTAATCCCGATAAGTGACCCTTAATTTTTTTATTGCTAATGACAGGAGTTTTATTAGGAAAGCAAATGGTCGTCGAAAAGGGCGGAACAACGTCTGCCTGGTCAGCTAGTTATAATATAAAGTTCTAACATCAAAATGTATATAATATAAAAACGATACCCACATTATATAGGAATAATTGTATTATTTTTAGATCCTTAAATTTTTTTCTTATTTTTCTTTTTTATTCATTATCTATTCCCTCTTTCCCTACACAGGTTTAACGTGAACATTACGTTCACGTTCGAGTTTCCATAGCCATGTTATTATTGATGCGTGGTTAGTTTATTGATTCATTCAAAATTATTATAACATTAGCCCGTTATAACAGAAAAATTTCTTTCTTTTATTTATAGATAACTTTGTTTTTGGATATACTATATAGGATATATCATAGTTTGGTTGCTTGACTACATTTATAGCCGATATACTCATTAGCAAGCGGTTCGGTAAGTATTAATTATTGTATAAAAATTGGACACAAAAAATATTTCTTGTTCACTCTATAGTTAATTTGTTTCCTTACTTTATATTAAGCATGAATTAAAATTTTGATGACAACTCCGTGCTCGTAATGAGATGCGAGGGATAATAAAATTGTCAGCTAAGGGTTTTCGGTAGACACCTAATCCATAAACGGTTCAAAAGCTGAGCATGATAACGGTTTGCCGAAATTTAAGGGTACGAAGTGCTCTTAAAAGTTGGTCAACTTCAACTTAACGAAGGAAAAATATTAATAGCAACACGCGCGTGGTTGCAAAATATATTTTTAAATTTTGTTCGAATTTGTACTTTCAAACACAAAGTAAACATAGACTATGTTTACAAAATTTGTAAATGAATATGAGCACTTGTATAAAAATAGTGACCTCATAGATGGTTATTACTAAAATATTATGCTATAGAGTCGCTGTTCTTGGGTACAAATTCCATCGCATTCGCAACCAACTAAATTTGCTGAATTTTTTTTTAGGATAGGGTGACAATCGAACACATAATCCAACTGATAGTAAGTGGTTGTTGTGACCCATAAACATCTACATTTATCCTCAATAAAGAATCAAAATGCAGACAGTCACCCGTGAGGACTAAGATGGAATGCCTCTTTTCCAGTAAAATGGGTCTTCGGTTCTCTACACTCACCATACGAAACACAGCAGCGTTAAGCTGCTATTTTACGCTGGTTTTCTGTGAGAGCGTGGTCCTTCCCCGAGCGAGCCGACCCATTCGTGCTACAACTATACTACTAATATAGCTGCAGCATGGCTCTACCACGTATATTTATCCCAGTGTCTGGTATCTAATCTGATTTCTCTTTTTTCTCCCTACAGTTACAATTAGACTTTATAAAATATATTATATACATAAATGAAAAGGAAGCTCTCTATGGCCACGCATTTTTATCTTTAAATAATCACCTAATTTAAAATATTCTTTATTCGTAAGGGTTTCAATTGTTTTTTCCATTATTATTTAAGAGTTGTTATAATAGACCATAATAGACCCTATATATTAATATATTAACGATAAGTTTCCAAAAAATCTCGACGCTTTGAGTTCCGTAGAGCCCGATTTAGTAGAAAATTAAACTGCAAAATGAATAACAGACTATATTTTTATGGAAATCGATTGTGTAGTTTTTAACTGACTTCAAAAAAGAGGAAGTTCTCAATTCATCTATATTTTTTGTGTGTTACCTCAGAACTTTTTTCTAGGTGAACCGATTTTGATTCTTTTTTATTTGAAAGCTTGTGCTTTTCGTGTGGTACAATATTGATCAAGATCTGAGCAGTAGTTTTAGGTTATCCTTAATAATGCGTATTTAACACATTGAATGCCCACTCCACGGATCCGTGTGGTAGTGGGAGTAAAAGCAGGGCCTACTCCACGGATCCGTGTATTACTCTCGCACATTTTTCTATTAGCTAGTGAGCTTTGGGCTCTCGCGGCAAGTTAACGTTGTCTGCTTGGCCATCCGTACGTATAATTAAACTTACGAAAACCTGTGTTGGATTTTTGATAACTTGTTTAGTTGCACTTTGATTAGCTAACGAAAAGGACGTGTTTTCCTACCAAAATGAATAGTAAACCGAGTACTTCTAAGCGTTCTAGTAGCGTCAAAAAGACATCGTTTTGCAAAAAAAGACGTAACAGTAGTGATGAAGGTGAAGGAATTGACATGGATCTCTTAGAATTTTCGAGTGATGAAGAGGTTTATTCGCAATGTGATTATGAAGATGGATCATCTGAAGAGGAAAGTGATGACAGTAATTTGAGCATTTTTGATACTCGTAAACAACCTGAAATGATAAAGCATACATTGAATACTCTCCAGAAGTCAAGTTCAGCCTTGACGTCAACAAAATCAAATAACATAGCTTCTAAGCCACGTCCATCGCATGTGTCAGCTGAATTCTCCTCTGCTTCAAAAACGATAGATGATATTATGCCGCAATCTCCTAAGGAAATGGAGGATGAGCTTATGCCACAACCACCACCAGCAAATAGCCGGCATATCCCTTCCATAGTACAGGATTACAATGAACTTCCTGACTTACCTGATTATCTATTACGAGAGAATATGTCTACCCCTAGTTTTTCCCTGTTAAGATCTGACGTGCCTACTCCTGACTACTGTGATGGCAATTTAGCATCCGAACCTCATAATTCACCTAGCTCGTCTTTGCCTCACTTGCCTATTCGTAATATTGCGGAAAACTTACCCTCTCGAGAAGGATCTTCAGAACGTGGTGATTTAGTCAGCCCGTCTATTTTCCTTTCGCCTATTCCAAATAATGCAGAAAATTTACTCTCTCGACAGGTAGCTGCAGCTATTCGAAACGATAAAAATGTACCCTCTCTAGATTGTCCTACAGAAACTTGGAGCACTGATCGAAGCTCAATGAAGACAATTTACTTTACTCAGTCACAAGAGCTACTAGTACCGCCTCCAGCGAATCCTTTTGAAGCATTGAGACTTTTGATTAATGATAAATTGATAGACCTAATTGTGCAAGAAACTAACGCTCACGCAGTAAGAGTACTATCTTCACCTGGTGTAACAGATCAATCAAGAATCACACGCTGGAAGGATGTAACACGTGAAGAACTTTGGACATTTTTTGGACTGCTCCTGCATACAGGAACAATTCGCCTAAATAGGCTAAGTGATTATTGGAAAACACACTGGCTATTTAAATTACCATGTTTTTCTCGTTACATGCCAAGAAACCGTTTTATGTTAATACTACGTTGCCTACACTTCTCTTCTGATTCAAATGAGGAAGATAGGTTGGTTCCAATTCGCCCAATCATGAACCATTTTAATGAGACGATGAAACGTATTTACAGTCCAGGTAAACAGTTATCACTTGACGAGTCGATGGTTTTATGGCGAGGTCGACTTATATTTCGGCAATATATTAAAAACAAGCGCCACAAATACGGTATAAAGTTATATGTTCTGGCGGAACCGGATGGCACGGTCTTGAATTTTCAAGTATACAGTGGTGCAAATGATACTACCTCAGGAAAAGGACACACAGAAAAAATTGTCCTGAAATTGCTCGAAGAAAGATTAGACTACGGCCACAGTATATACATGGATAATTATTATAATTCCTACAATTTGGCAGTAAAATTACTGGAACGAAAAACTTACTGCACAGGCACGTTGGGAAAAAACAGAAAAAATAATCCAGTGGATCTCGGTTCAGTCACACTCAGAAAGGGAGAAAACAAGTCATCATTCTTGAACGGTGTCCACATCGGTAAGTGGAGAGACAAACGGAACGTGCTCTATATATCCACGGAACATGACGACGAGATGGTAGAAGTTGCTAGCAAAAGGGGCCAAGTGTTGCTAAAACCCTCAGCTATAGTCCATTACAACAGCTTTATGTCTGGGGTAGACCTTCAGGACCAAATGTTGGCCTATTACCCATGCCAAAGAAAGACGCTGCGCTGGTACAAAAAACTTTTTGTACATATTCTACAAATGAGTCTAAGTAACGCCTTTTACTTGTTTAATAAATACTCAAATTCCGACAAGATGAACCTCTATGATTTTCGAATGGCTATCTTAGAAAATCTTTTACCTCAACCTGTACCAACGGAGCAAATTAAGTCTAAGTTAAAAATTCAACACCACTTGACAAAAATAGAAAATTTTAAATTACGTGAAAAACGAGATGGTAATTCCACAAAAATTACTAGAGAAATCATCAGGAAGGAGTGCAAGGGCTGCAGAGCCAAGAAGAAAAGAGTAGCTACCTTATAAGAGTGCAAAGGATGTGATGGATCCCCAGGATATTGTACAGCATGTTTTAGCAATGTCCATTCTTAAAGAATGTTATGTATTTAGTATATTGTGTATATTAGTGCCTTATTTACCTACTTTCTTATGTTTTAAATTAATAAAAATTGTTTGTTGTTTACACTGTCTATCATTTTATGAGGTGGTCATTATGGTGCAAAGGAGCAGAAGTACTTACTCTAATAATAACATGTTATTATTGCACAACCCTTGCCAACACGGATCCGCGTAGCTGGCCACACGCATGTTATTGGCCTGATACACGGATCCGTGTTGGCGATAATAATTATAGAATAACAATAATAATAAATAAATGAATATTATTATATAGTTCTAATTTATGTTTTCTTACATACACTCAATATTTTTATAAATTTTTATGTGGGCCCCCGTAGTTATCATTGATATTTAAAAGGGCATTCAATGTGTTAATTGACTTCTACTAAATTGATGATGTTCTCATTTTATTTATACTGAAGACGGTTGTACAAAACTTTTAGTTTTATCACTTGTTATTACTTACCAAATGAAACTTGCAATTAGTCAACAAATGGAAAGTTAATTGTTAGGGGCCAAAGACATTCAAACATTTATATGGGCAGATTAAATCGCACGCACACCCTGTTTTTTTCAAAAAGGTCAGTAACCCGTGTCATTATAATATGAGACAACAATTCATAATACTCAGTGACCCAAACCGTAATAAAGAGCTTAAAACATACTTAAGATATCGAAATAACCGCTTAAGTTCACTTAATTTAATCTCGACAATATTATATCACTGCGACTGTCAGACTAATGTCATACTAATCCAGATCCTCTTAACGAAGACTGGAAAAGGAACAATGGTGGATTTGACAAACACAGTTTATTAAATGGAACGAAAATGTGATAATTAAATAAAATATTCTTAAGTTCTAAAAAGTTGCTTTTATAAATCCAATTTGACATTGCCAATATGAGCCTTTTATTTTTTATATTCTACATACATTTCTCATTTCTGTCTTCTACATTTTTTACAGTGGTCAATATTACCGTTATTATAAACACCATTCGAATATCAGATAACATTAAAATATAGTCTACTACCATGTTTATTATATTAACTATAATATGGTGATACTAGAATATATAATAATGGTTAATCGAATACAGCGCAATGAATAAAGGTATTCACCTGAAATTAAAGAAGTTAAAATTTTACGTGTTATATAAAACGTGTTACAATTAGTTTTATTCACTACTTATTATCTCTAATCTCATATATAAAAGTTAATGTTTGGTTGATCGTATTTTATGCGCAGCCATATTTATCCTCTACTCTGTCTACTCTCTACGATATGCTCATGTGGCCATACCGTTCATCAGATTGCGGCAAAACTTTGTCAACTTATTACTTGCACTTGGGTGAATGTTATTAGGCATAGTACAATTGACTTACAGTAGGTGGCCCGCGTATCGGACCGACAAATTTATTTGAAAGTTTTGAATCATTCAATTTCAATAAATGTATTATTATTGGTAATTAAAAAATATAACTCTTCCAAATTTAAAATTATTTACCATAAGCATATTTTCTGCGGAAGCAACGCGCCGGGTACCAGCTAGTGTACTCGTAATATAAAACCTTGCTCAAAATGAGACATAAGCAGATATATAAACTTCAAATTAACGTAGATGTACATATAAAAATCCTTAAATGACTTCAAGCTATGAAACCGTACAAAATATCTCTTAACTACAAGGTTTTCCGCACAACTTACATGTAGTTATCGTTACATAATCCGCTTAAAGAAATATCGTCTTTTGTTAGTTATCCACATTGAGAACATTCGGTTTTACTATTCGTATTTGTAGTACGTGCATCTATTCCATTATATCATTCAATACATCGCTCAATACATGAACGAGCAGATCGTCGTCAGTCATAAATTCATATAAATTGGATAATGTCCGGAGAGTCGGCGAGGCGACGCCTGCGCCGGACGTCACCAATCTCTATATTGCCGCAAGTGCCGATAAGTGCCCGGTGTAATGTACCGTTTAATCTCATAATACGTTGTTTCCGAAACTGAAAACTTGAATGGTTTCCTATGTAGGATATTTCTTTTTAAATAAGGTATTTAATTCCTTCACTTATTCATTGCAGCATATCAAAAGTCCTGGCTGAATATAGACCTCTTCATTTGCCAGAGTTACAACGGCTGGTAAACGCATGGATAGCACTGCTACCCATCTCCTATTTCCGTTTTCATCTGTCGCCTTTTACGACAACCAGATGGTGACATGGGACAGTAGATTCTATTACGCTACCATACTAGGCAACGATACTACTACCAAATATAATAAGGAATCCTTAGAGAGTTTGTGATCTATATTATACTCTGTCAAAAATATCAAGTATTTTTAATTTTGCATCACTATTATCCTAAATGTCATTTCTTAAAAAAAATATTAAAGAAAAAAATTAAATTAATATAACATAATAGCTTTAAAAAAACGTTTTTAAGTGTTAGAGCCATGGTTTACGTGGTAGAGTCATGTTGCAGTTACATTATGGTTGTAGCACGATTGGGCCGGCTTGACTAGGGGAAGACCACGCTCTCACAGAATACCAGCGTAAAATAGCAGCTTAATGCTGCTGTATTTCATATGGTGAGTGTAGAGAACCGGAGAACCCTTTTTGTGGATACGAGGCACTCCATCTTAGTCCTCAGAGGTGGCAACGCGTCTGCATTTTAATTGTTAATCGACGATAGAGGATACCTATAGGCCACAGCATCCATTTACTATCAGGTGGACTGTGTACTCACTCGTCACCCTTATTCTATCAAAACAACCGATTCTACAATGTACTTGGCTTATTATTTGATGGATATAGAATTTTTCCGTTTGAACGAGTAAATAAAAACGCTCTTTATTTTTATATCACGTAACGTACTCATACGAACAAAATCTTGTTTTACGCCATGGATAAGAACGCATCGCTGAACAGTGGACAGTGACAGCACGTCATTGGATTAAAAGGCAAAGGCTGTACTTATATCCACTTTATTCTATTATTTTGTTTCACCAATTTGACCATTTGTTAATTAGAGCGACAGCAGCCGAATTGTTAAGGGTAAGGACTGTAAAACCGATAAATCGTGGCTTTGACTCCGTTATTCCACTGCTACTATCACAACCACTTTAAGCTATTTTTATATGGTAGAGCCACATTATATGTAACATATAGTGAGATACATGTAAATATATAGTGAGTGAAAAAAACTTGAGACCATTGCTACTGGTAACCTACATTTATTACTACTTACTACATTTCATGTTAGTAAGTTGTGATAAATGTAGTTTTCAATGGGTCACAGTATTCAATTCCTATTTCCATCAGGTGGATCGTGTAGTGGTTTGTCTCCCTTACACTTAAATAAAGAGAGCGTAGTTGGTGTAGTTATAACATTAGTAAAGTTAATACCATTGCTAGTATTATTTAAAAAAGCTAATTTTCTGAAGAAAAAAAACAGCACTACATAATAACTGAAATTTCGCACAGCTAACATTGCTACCAAATTTATAGTCTCTGAAATTTGGATGTAGTGATTTGGATAAATTTTCCGCCATCAGTCAGACACCAGAGACTCGTCCGTTAATCAACAGGGTACACCGCAAGCAAATGAAGCTCGCATATTATTCCACCTTACACAACGCCAGATTTTCAGAATAAACTTTCGTTAATTTATTTTGTTTTTAACTAGTGGAAAATATAAAAGCTAATTTAAACAGAATGTTAAAATTCACAATGTTATTGTTAATTATTTATAATATAGGGTTTAAATTCATAGCTCTTACTTTAAACTTAATATTATAGGTAAAGATATTACAGGGTGAAATTTCATTTTGCGCAAAATTTTTAGTGCATGGCATAATCCAATGTGACTATAAATGAATGCATATAATTATATTTTGTTTATAGGATAGTGTAACAAACGAGCACACAGTTCACCTGATAGTAATTGTTTGCTGTGACCCATAGACATACACATCTATTCCTCAATAAAGAATCAAAATGTAGATGCGTAGTCACCCGTGAGGACTAAGACTCTTTTTCAGTAAAATGGGTCTCCAGTTCTCTACACTCACCATACGAAACACAGCAGTTTTAAGCTGCTATTTTACGCTGGTATTCTGTGAGAGCGTGGTCCTTCCCCGGTCGAGACGACCCATTCGTGCTACAACTATACTAGTAGTAATATAGCTGTAGCATGGCTCTACCATGTACCATTTTGTTATTGCTTCAAAAAATGTTATTCACACTGGATTTATATTAGGGTATGTGTTTCGAATTACTACAAGCTTCCGCAATTAGCAACGGTTAGTGAGAACTGCTTTTACGCTACCAGAACTCGATCATATATATTCCCAACTGACAATATCGTTTCGAATGTAAAAAAATAATTAAGAAGAACTTTATTATCTCAAAGAATTTTTACATTCAGTTTTTGAGACTTATATATCTATATAGCTTAATATAAATTTGGTTTGGGCTATTCGTACAATGTAACAATGCAAATTATAATTTAAACTATAATTTAAACTACCGAAAAATACATAATGTAGGTGGTTGTAAAATGTTTCTAGCGACAGCGATGGCTCGTTTTGTGTAAATTCGACCGCCGACTTCTTTGTGTCGATTACATACATAAACATTACTGGATGTGACTCGTACAGTAGAGTGGTACAATTGATTAGATTCAATAGTTTAGAGAGAAAAAAAAAGTCTAATTAATTGTCGGTTATAATAATTTATATATTTAGTAAAATTTGTAATATTTATATTATATATTATTTCTGAATAACTTAAATAATTGGTATTTTTAGAGTGTAAGAAGGAAATAATCTAGATATGTATTTATTTATGTTAGTTATTGAACATAACAGTATTTATTTATTTAAATAGATCTTTGTTTAGTCTTTCGATAGATTTTTTTTATAGGATAAGGGTGACAAATGAGCACATAGTCCACCTGATGGTAAGTGGTTGCTGTGGCCCATAGACATCTACATTTATCCTAGATTACGAATCAAAATGCAGATGCGTTGTCACCCGTGAGGACTAAGATGGAATGCCTCGTTTCCAGTAAAAAAGGTCTCCAGTTCTCTACACTCACCATACGAAACACAGCAGCATTAAGCCGCTATTTTACGCTGGTAATCTGTGAGAGCGTGGTCCTTCCCCGGTCGAGCCGACCCATTCGTGTTACAACTATAACAGAAATATAGCTGCAGCATGGCTATACCACGTATACAATGGTAGATGATACTTAAGTAGTCTTTTAAATGTGTGCATTGATTTTGAGTCTCTAATATCTTTAGGTAATTTGTTATATATTTGTGAACCTTCATACATTATGAATTTTTTACCGAAATTTGTTCGTGGCGTTAATAATTCAATAACGTTACTTCGCCTAAGTTTCATTTTGTGTGGTTGTATTCTCTTTGAAAAAGTTGTGTTTGTGTGTATATCTTTATTTAAAAAAATATTCAGATAGTTATTTAAAATATAACATAAAATAATCATCACTACTATCATAAAGTCCTGAGTCATCTGCATCTATTAGCTCCTTGCATGATCGCTTTGCATTTCGCTCGCCAGTAGAATTCTGTCACACGAATACTTTTCTTTGCCACTGGCTTCCGATTCCGCAAGCTAACTGACTGACCTATTAAAAATTTAGTTTACTGATTCGTTAGACTATGTTCTCTGTCTTTCCCTAGGTATCATGCTGGTTCTTCTCAGGACAGAGATATTTTAGGGATAAGTGGAAAATAAAATTGCCTTTCAAAAATATATCATCATAATCTTCATTATTACAGCACTTTACCCATAAGAAATGTCTTACCAACAGCAGTGCCCGTACTTCAATTGCATTCGAATGTGATAAGCATCGAAGAGAGACTAAACAAGTGGGCTACACATTTCTATTAAGAGCTATAGTATGCAACGCAATTTCAATAACAAAGCTTTTTTTTATAAACATCATATTGACTATATTATGCAACCGATGATTGGACATCCAGTTATATTAAAATTACGTAACGACATAACGAGATATTAGTAGTTCCTTTAAGTCCGCTCCAATGTCTCTTTTTATGATTTTCTACTTAATTTGGTGCAGTAAAAACTTAAGTCGTAAGCCGGTTTTACGCCTCATTGCTTATCATGATTTTATATTTTAATGATAGATTATTTCGAAACTATAATAGGGCGGTCACATACATAGAGAAGTGATCATAATTTACATAATTTTCTACTTGGGATTTAAGTTTCACATTACTTAATTTACATCAATAATTTTGCCCTAACATGCTAATCATATACTGCAGAAAACAAACCCCTTTTTTATAGAATACAAATTAAAATTGTTCTCTGACTGTCCATGGTCAACGTTGTTCATTATTTTATATTTTTTACCACCACAATTTCTCTGAATATTAATTTGTATTTAAATTTTACTTATTAAAATTCCGTTTGTTTATTTTTAAAGTAAATATCATCTACATTCGATGTCTAAAATATCAGTAAAAAATCTGAATTATTTCCTCTTTCATCAATTCAAGCAGCTTAAAGCAGTTAATTATTTAAATTACTACTATTAACAGTAGCTCTACAGTATTTAATACACATTTTAAAATTAATATATTTTAATTAAATATCAAGACTTTCTCACCGCAGCACTACTTACGCGATCCATTAAACATTAATACCGTCAATGAACTTTTTTATTTTGGTTAAATTGTAATTCGACTCGTAACTTTCAAAAATCACCTCGTCAGTTTCGGTTCCGAGACAATATCTCCACTCATTATCTAATTTAAAAAGGAATTTAATGTCGCAATGACTGGCTGTTAATTTCGTTACCACCCACAGACTCATTGAGAAGTCTCACAGTGGTAGGTAGTCATCATATGATCACATCAGAGTTCAACTGTTGTAATAAAAGTGTATTGTAGAGCCAATAAAAGAAAATTCGGAATATATTATTGTAATTCTTAATTGAATATTACAATAAACGCATAAGTGTGTGACTCAGTTAACAATATAATATTCAAGAAGATAATAAACATAGAGATACTTCATATTGAAGTATCCATTATAATCCCTTCAAAATAAGTTTTGATAAGTGTTAAAAATAGAATTATGCAGATTAAAATTTCTCTTGAAGTTTTATACAACAATTAGGTATATGCGCCATTGACATGGGTGTCACCACCGGCAGCGGTGCAGGCACCAGACAGGCGCACGCGCAGGTAAGCGCTTAGGTAAAACAAGGACAACACTATCGGAATTCTCGCTTTCACCACGTGGTGGGGCAGATCTGAGAAGGCGCGGGAGTATGTTTGCTATCTGTGTTACATTTTTCTTTAGTTTAGAAACGTTCTCGGACGTAGAAGGATTGTGTTAAGTAAGATTACATTTAAACTAATGTGATTAGTAGTGAGTTCGATACAAAAACAGATGAGTGACGAAGTGTTGGGTTATCATCTAGTACGGAGGCGCTTTTGCGCCAGCTTGATCTGTTATGGGTGGTCGAAGGATGATTAAAGCTGCAGCTGTGCTAATAGCTTTGGGGTACAGCAGTTTGTTAGTTTATCAAGGCGGAGTTACATTTAACTTCCAAGAAAATCGACAGGGATCGGTGCAAGTGCCTGATTTAACTATTGAACCCGTAACAAAAACAAATATTTATGATAGTGTACAAAGTAAAAACATAACATTAGAAGACATATTTATAAGTGTTAAAACAACAAAACATTATCAATATACAAGGCTGCCAATAATATTAAAAACATGGTTTCAATTGGCGAAAGATCAGGTAAATAATTTTTTATTAATGCTACATAAATCCATTGTAATTATTGATTTTTTTAATGTTTTTATACAACGATAATATTAAAACTCACGCTAATGTTCATTTTAATATGCTGAGTATTCAATATTAATTAAATTTATAATTCAATATTTGGTTTTGAGTCAACATTCTTTACCAAATATCTAAATTTCAGGTTTGTAACTCATTATTTCTAATAACTAGATATCCGATACATACAGACGGACGGACAAACAACAGACAGGCATTAATAGCGCTCCTTTTTTCTTTGAACGAAACCCTAAAACAAAGTATTTCAAACCCTCATGTAAAAACAAAACACGTCATCCAAAACTGGAAAAATTAATAACACATTTTTATTATATACTTTTTGATTATTTTATTTACACATAAATGCAATGATTGTTTGATATTTAACCAATCCATAGAATATATTATGAAGTTTACAATTTAAGTAATGTACAAATATATATTGTAGAGATCTACTTCAAATAACATTAACAACCTGTTAATTAGGCATAAAACTAGTATAATTAGTTGTTGGAAATGATAATAACAAAATAAACAGAACCAATACTATGAAAACTACATGATATTATTCGGACACACTGAGTATATTTTCTCAGCACAGATACAAGATAATTTTCGACCAAATATTTGTCTTCATTTACCAGGGCCACTACAAGAACAAGTTAATTAAAGCAAACTTGTTATTTAATTATTTAACGGAAAGAATACCTACTCCATGTAATCTCTTGCGTCAAGAACATAATATATTTATAATTAATTAATTGTATACCTACGAAGAATAATTTTATACACGCCGGCTTTAAAAAGGTCAATAAAATAATAATCCAATATATAAAACTAATGTCCAAACAGGTCTCATAGTATAGAAAAGTATATTCATTAAATATGTATTGTATCCTATTAAAATAAATCAGAGTAATATGTGAAAACATTTTGCGAAATACGAATACATAAAAAGGTAGATTAAGTAACATTAATTCTTGTGTACCTAAATTTGAACTCATAAAATTAAAAATGGAAACTTGAAGTTGTGTCAGTAGTTTCGTCAAAGCTCATAAAACTAAAAACATAAGACAACATCTTAATTTTATTCTTTCTTTATCGGCGACATCATGTCCACTATACAGCTGCAATACCAAGCAGAAAAACCTGTTTCTAGATCGTCCTCAAAACCGCTCCCCATATATCTGTTGCCAGCATCTGCTTGTAACGTTATTTTATCGCAAATTAAAAAGAAAACTTGATCCATGATAACTTAAGCAAGAAGTGTACTGAGTTCTGATATTATTAATAATATCAAACTCCAGTGTTTTCAATTTCGTGTGTTTCGAATTTACTTTAATGTTAATAACGATGTTTTATAACGTAATAGTTATAATAATTTACAATGGTATCAATGTTTATTCGAAAATTATTAAATACTTTGGTCGCCCGGTCAACAAAATTCGACCGTAGCAATACATTTTTAAGTTTTAAAGCAAACTGTATTTAACTTTCATCTGCACATCATATTATATGAAATAAACGCTTTTTGCCTTGACAGAATTTTGAAGAAGGAACATTTGAAATTACACAAAATTCACAGCTCATTCTGTCAGTTTTCAAGTATTGTTGGTAACATCTTAGAATTCTTTAGCGATAATCTCTAGAGATTCTACTCTGTGCGACTGTTTGGGCACAGACTATTTTGTGTTAAATATTGGTTGTAAGAACGTTAACAATTAATATTTATTTTATTTAAAAATATTTTATTGAATGGGCTTGCTGCAATCCTTTTTCATATTATAAACTGACTATGCCAAATCTCACACTCAGTGCGTGTGTATATAGATAGATAAACACAGTAAAAAAAATCTATATTCAGTTATTAACATGAACCGAATTCTGATCGCTTGATTTATCAATTATATTACAAGTTTTTTTATATTGCTAAAGGATGAGCAACCAAAATTAAGTTGTTATATTAAATTAAGTGTTTTTTTTTTAATACAGCAGAATAATAAAATATTTATTATACTACTAAGAACACAACAAATATGTATATCAAAAAACGTAATAGCTTAATACTAATTCAGTCTCGTATTCTCCCTAGCTCAGGGTAGTGCGGTCACTACATGGTAGGGACAATCTGGTAAGAAGTATAGGAAGGAAGTTGAGGGATGCAAGTGTCTCAGAATTGTGTTTTTGTACCTAGCGGTTTTCGATAAAGAACTATGTTCAGCTGTGGACTTGTGATAGGCTGTATTGAAAATGATGATGATTATGATGATACTGAATGGGCTTTATTTAAGTAATGTGATGTGATGCTACAAACTAGTCTTTAATATGTATAAAACTTTGTTTGTAAAATCCCACAACAATGTTATTTATTTCACTTATTACACAACTCAGCAGAACACTGGCTAAGCAAATGGCTTTGGGACCATTGGTTCTAATTCCGCAAAAGACCAGTATTTGTATTTATTTTGAAATAATAAGGGTGACACACACATTCCACTTGATGGTAAGTGGATGTTGTGGCTCAAAGACATCTACATTTATCCTCAATTAAGAATCAACAAAATAATAAAATAAGTAGATGCGTTATCACCCCTGAGGACCGAGACGGAATGTCTCGTTTCCAGTAAATAGGGTCTTCGGTTCTTTACACTGACCATACGAAACACAGCGGCATTAAGCTGCTATTTTACGTTGGTATTATGTAAGAGCGTGGTCCTACAATATAGCTGCAGCATGGTTCTACCACGTAAATTTATGGCCTGCATATAATTTTTCTAAATCTACTTTCTGAATAAATTTTTGTGCCTTCACAATACAGGACAAAATCCAGTGTGGGTATAATTCATTTATAAAGGTTTATTTCTTACAAATTACACTAAATAAAACTATACACTATTCTATGATTAACAATTCATATTTCCGCAAGTACATAACATTAAGATCAAAAAGAAATCCTATATCTGTAAGCGGTAGATTAAATGTCTTCGCATAATTTCTATTATTTGAATTATTTAACAAATCTCACAGGCGTGAAATATCTTAAACTAATCGTATGCGTAAATGTAAATGTTTTATTCCAACACAAAGTTGAAATGCAAACAATGAGGAACGTTCCAAAGCCAATCGTGCTTCGTCCGTTGCCTTGCGTTTCCTGAATCTGGAGCGTGCATAATCGACCGTTAATCCGGCTCGAAGGACCAACATAAATAACTATTGTACGCGAGCCCTGCGCTTGCGCAGCGCGTGGCACGAAGGCGCGCGCCAGACACGTGACTGGATTTTATTCAACCTCTAGTCTTTTTGTATTGCATGCCATTGTCTAGTCCAATTTGAATTATTTGTACATTATCCATAACGTTGTAGCTGAAAGTGTGGGAAAACTCTATTAATTATTTATATCTCGTATGTTTTTTATTCATTACGGCATTTTTTTATTCATTACACCCTACCAAAAGTCCACTGTTGACCAAAGACTTCCATATATTTTGCCTCAGGGATTGGATATTTTAATAACATGAAAATTAATATTTTTTCAATAATAAACAATAGTAATAATAGAAAATGAGTACAAGAGAAGAAGACATTGAATCAGTAAGTTAAAAATAAAATGTTATAGCCTGTATGCGTCCTGATTCTAGCCATAGGCGTCTTCTCATTATTGAAAGGGTTCTAGGGCATGAAAGTGTCCATCGTTCTGCGCCGATGCGTATTGACCAGTGTTGACAGACTTCATACGTCTTCGAAATTTTTTTTATATCTCAGACATGAATATTTCGTTATATTTCACTGTGAAACACGTGGTAAAGCAACATTTAAAATTGCAATTGACAATTTCATTGTTGCCGGCGGGGATCGAACCCGGCTTGCTCACGTACTGTGAAATTTACAGCGAGCGCTTAGCCGCTGAGTTACAACGGGTCTTTATATAGTATACAGTTATAGTAGTAGTAGTAGTAGTAATTTAGTAATACACACATACAGTTAAAATCTATATTTATATATATATATATACATCTATATCTATATCTTCTATACAATAAATAAAATTGAAGTGTCTGATTGTAATGTCCAAATACCAGCATTTTCTAAATGCGTATGAAAGTATATACGGTACTTATAACAAAAACTAAATTTTTAAAATTTTTGTCTGTCTGTCGGAATGTCTGTCTGTCTGTCTGTTTGTTCCGGCTGATCCCCGAAACGGCTGGACCGATTGCGACGGTACTTTCACTGGCAGATAGCTAATAAGGAGTTAACTTAGGCTAATTATATTTTAGAAAAAGAATTAGGGTTCCGCGCAATATAATTAAAACTCTAAATTTCACGCGGGCGAAGTCGCGGGGAACAGATAGTATGCACAATAAATATGAGGCAACATGGGGGAGCCCTATGTTTAGTCTATTTGTACTCTTAATAATGAAACAAAAATAACTTAAGACAAAGTGTAAATAAGAAAACGATCAAGCGATATGCTTTCTGACATCAAATCATATGATCGCACAATATAAAAGCTTGATAAAAAACTAGCATTCACTAATATGTAAAAATGTTTATTTACACATTTAGGATCTGTGAAGTATTCTAAATATCAGAAAGTCAAATAAAAATATCCCAGGAACCTTTAAATATTATTAATTCGAAATTGTAATTTAGTATCATAGGAGTATACTCGCTACCGGATATTTAGTGTAGAATATCATGTATAAATTTCAAAATATACATACTACTGTTCTCTCATTATCATCTCTATGCTGACGACTTGCAATTATACCGTCATTTCAAAGTCCAAGATATAGATGAGGCTAAGCTGAATGCTGACTTAAGTAGCATGAGCAGTTGGGCAAAATCGTTTGGTCTTCTTGCTAACTCTGCTAAATCCCAAGTAATGATTATCGGCAGCTCATATATGCTTAATTTATTAGATCGTTCGAAGATCCCTGCAGTAACGTATGATAATACTCAAATTCCATATACAGAGATAGCTAAGAACTTAGGTGTTATTTTTGATAATAATTTGTCTTGGGTTGCTCACATTAATATGATTAGCAGAAAAGTGAACTACTCTTTCCAAGCTCTCAAGCGCCTCCAGATGTTTTACCATTAAAAACTAAGATAACCTTAGCTCAAGCACTTCTTCTTCCTCTCATTGACTACGCTGATGTTAGTTTTTTGGATGCTTCAGAGGAGCTATTGAACAAACTGGAGCGTGTTCAAAATTTGTGTATACGTTTTATTTTCGTCTTCGTAAGTTTGATCATGTTTCAGAGTACAGGGCTCAATTAAAATGGCTTCCTATCCGTAGACGTCGAGACTTACATTTGTTATCATTTCTTTACTTTCTACTCTTTAATCCTCTTGCAGCTCCATGTCTCCGCGAGCGTTTTGAGTATCTTGTACCTCGTGAAACTCAGTGCCGGACCACTAAACAGCTGCTTCTCAAAACTCCTTCTCATTTCACAAGCCGATGTGGTGGTTCCTTTACTGTAAGGGCGGTCAAGCTATGGAACTCACTTCCACATGACATATGTGCTAGCTCTTCTCTTGATATATTTCGGAGCAGAGTAAAGATATATTATCTATCATCTTAGAATTACAAATATTTACATATTTTATGTATTTATATGTATAATTGTATATATATATGTATGTATATATATATATACATGTATATATATTTATGTGTGTGTGTACGTATATATATATATATATATATATATGTATATATTTATTAATATATATGTATGTAAATCAATAGAAATAAAAAATAAATTATACTTTTATTTTATACCCTTATATGTTAATGGTTAACTGTTACTTTTAGCCAATTTCTATTAAGTAGTGTTAAGTTAATTATTAAGTACGCACGCTGCTACCTACTTGCTTTATATATAAAACTATTTCTCTTTCCCAATAGGTTTGCTGGAAGAGAAACCCTAATGGGTTAAGATCACCTTTGTACATCTTATTTAAATATTTAAGAATTATTACCAACCTATAGTGTGTACAATAAATAATAAAGAGACATCATGTCCTCTGATGGAAAATAACTGTTGTGGCCCATAGACGTTTACGTTTATCCTCGATTAAGAATCAAAATGCAGATGTATTGTCACTATTAAGAAATAAGATGGAATAACCCATTTACAGTAAAAAGGGTCTCCGGTTCTCTAGTCTTACCATACGAAATGCTGACAAATTAAACTGCCCCATTCGTGCTACAAATACAATGTATCTGCAGCATAGCTCTATCACGAATAAAAAGATATTAAAATAATTTAAATTCCATGTGCAAAATACTGAACCATTCTTGTTATATGGCCTCTTTAAGTTATCTTAACATAATGTAACTTGAGTCAAATCAGGTGCGCCGAACGATGTTTACTAACTAAGCTGACTCTTAACCAGAAAAAGATAACAACGCTACTTCCTGTATTGCGAGCATGAAACGAACACTTTGTCCTTTGTCAGTAGATTGTTTTAAATTATATTATAAAATATGCCTTATTAAATTCGATACTTACCTATATCAAAACCATAAACCGTGTGTCTTTTAAAACCATTTCTTGTAAAAGTATTCTCGAAAAATATCAATACTTTTAACGGAACTTCTGAACTGACTGAGAGTTTTTCTCACTAATGTAAGCTATCATTCTGCTGTCATTCCCGAATATTAACCGCTATATTTTATTTTGATAAAAATACGTTTTCAATTTGAAATATTATTTGTAATCAAATCAGAAGAAAAAGCGCTGCTTGATTGATTTATCGGCAAAACAAATGGTTGTATTCATTCATTCATTCATTCATTCATAATAGCCTATCACTATCTGATTTGAAATGTCTTGGTAGCTTAGAGGCTAAACACTCGCTGTAAATTTCACAGTAGGTACATACGCAAGCAACCCGGATTCAAGCCCGGTGGCACTAATGAAATTGTTAATTGAAATTTTATTTCATGATGAATTTGATTAATCACGTGTTCGGCGGTGAAGGTAAACATCGTGAGGAAATACATATCTGAGAAACAAGAAAAATAATATTTCGAAGACATGTGAAGTTCGCCAACTCGCATTGGGACAGCGCGGTGGACATTTCCTTGTCCTAAAACCCTCTCAGAAATGAAAGAAGGCCTGTGCCCAGTAGTGGGATGTATGTAGGCGGTAACTTCACTTCATTATATCAAATAGAAATAGAAATTTTGTTATTAAATATCTATATTAAATTATAAATAAATTATTATAAATCAATAATTATAAATCATACTTATTGAAAGTCAAAGTCATATCATAAACATAGACTGTTTCGTAAGGCAAATATTTTTTGCTATAGTTGTCACATTTGGCAGGTGGGTTTCTAGTTGTTATGAGGAATCGTACGTAATAGAACCAAGCTGCAGCTATATTAGTAGCATAGATGTAGCACGAATGGGTCAGCGCGACCGGGGAAGGACCACGCTCTCACTGAATACCAGCGTAAAATAGCAGCTTAACACTGCTGTATTTTGTATGGTGAGTGTAGAGAACCGGAGACCCTTTTTTACTGGAAAAGAAGCATTCCATCTTAGTCCTGACCGGTGACAACGCATCTGCATTTTGATTCGCAAACGAGGATAGATGTAGATGTCTATGGGCCACAGCAACCACTTACCATCAGGTGGACTGTGTACTCGTTTGTCACCCTATCCTATAAAAAAAAGACACTGCAAACCTTTTTTTATAATATTTTACGACACCCACGGACGATATTAAGGTTTAGTGGACATTTTTATACCTCCAATACACGGTCATGGTTGGGATATGGTCTTAAAAAGAACTAGCTTGTTATAAATGTTATATAGAACTAGGTTCTGATTTTTTTTGTTTTTATTTTTTTTGTACAAATTTGCCAAGTTTTATCGCAATCCTCAAATATGACAACCCATCTGAATTGAAGATGAAGGTATCTATGGCCCACAGCATCTACTTACCATAAGGTGGACTGTGTGTTCATTTGTCACCCTTATTCTTTAAAAAAAAATCCATTTGGTAGTAGTTTTGGCGTGCAGAGTAATTTAACATACATCTTAACATCCATACCACCTCTATCATTTATTAGTGTGATAAATTATTATTCCTGTTCGGATACCATAAGTAAACATACATATACATCTAACTACATATTTACATAACACTACAGCAATTGCACTAACGTGAGTAAACAATGCAATCACGCACTCTACAAATACTGAGTATTTCCCGCGGGTGAAACTGTGGGGTGCAGCTAATTTGCTGGCAATCATTTTACCGAATGCGAATAGTAACGTGTTCCACCGTAAACTGTCGTAGGCGTGTTGACGGTTATTTTATGATAGTAGAAAATACAAGTCAGACGTTCAAACGTAAGTAAGTGGCTCCTAGTTTATAGCTGTAACTTCAAACAAAGGAGATTTGAAGTTAGATAAGTTATAATCTTAGGCGTGGGTGTTGACAGCCCTGAGGATTAAGTTGCCCTACAGCCAGTAACGTTATCTCTACATAAGGTTTTTCTCCGGTATTGTGGAGGCAGTTTATATGCATAAATCGTCACGGAGCCGTCAAGCTGTAGAAATATTTAAGAGTACCAGCCTAAATGCATTCCTAGGTGGAAAACAAGGTCTACAACCTTGTCAAAATTATAGCGGTGTTAAAATAGTGTTCGTCATGTATACTAATGTATAACATGTAACTAAATTCAAATGAGAGTACATATATGCGATACTTACGACAAAAAAAAAACAATTTTTAAAATTTTTGTCAGTCTGTTTGTTTGTAATCTCCGAAACGGATTGACCAATTTTGACGTGACTTTCACATGCAGATATATGATGTTATAACGAATAACTTTGGCTACTTTTATTTTAGAAAAAAAGGGATCCACGCAAAAAAAAATACAACCTATTAAATCCAATCTTAGTAAATTCCACGCGGGCAAAGTAGCGGGGAACAGCTAGTACTCAATAAGAAAATGTACCTATATCAAAACAACTTAATTTTTATACGCGGATCCTTGTAAATTAATTTTCTCATCTCTTATGTTATAAATTTTCGCAAAATAATGTCTAGATCTATTAAAACAATCGGTATTACTACTTTCATAATTATTTTGTTTGTTACAGATATGGTTCTTCACGGATACGGAAAATCGCCAACATCAAAATCAAACTAGTAAGTAAAATTAAAATTTACGGAAACTGTAATAAATTGTTTGTTAGGTCACTTGCAAATATTTTTGCAACATTGATCTTTACTACTTCTCCTTAAGATCTAAAATCGTAAATTACATGATATTAGAACGTTGTTTTGCGGCAAAACTCTACAAAGTTAGGAAAACATTTCAATGCACTCTTTCCCCTCTATTAAACTTTAGAATCTTTTGAAAAGCATTTCCTTACTTTTATATTTTTGTTCACAGATGGCCACATGGTAAATACGAATTGTTCGGCTTCGCACCAACGTAAACATTTATGCTGTAAAATGTCTGTAGAGTACGATCATTTTCTGGAAAGTGGTAAAAAGTAAGTAAATACTGCTTTAAAGAATAACTAAAATAAAGATAACCAATAATATCAGCGTAATGTAGCATCTTAATGCTGATGTAATGATTTCTTATATTTACGCGAACACTACACATTAAATGAAACTAATTTTACGGATTCTATCACGCGTAATTTAACTTTTTAATTCCATCTGCTTGGGATCCTATAATTAATAAAATTAAACCCATCCTCAAGTATTCTACTGCAAGATTTCAAGATACTGTAAGCTTATTATGTGTAGATCGGCCAAAAATGAATATTAAAAAACTGAAGGTAGCCCGGCTAACTATGACATCGGGACTTCAAACACCTCAGTTCTCCCTGTGACCATGGGTGCTGTAAAGTACTTGAAACGTCGGTGGCTAAAAAGTTTTATTAAACATGATAAAATCTATAAAATCAGTTTAATTTAATGCTGATGCGTTTCGTACGGTGCGTGTAGAGAACCGGAAACTCTTTTTACTGGTAACGGGGCATTCTATCTTAACCCTCAGGTGTGACGATTGACGAAGTATCATCATTTTGATTTTAATCGAGGAATAGAAATAGGTGCCTATGGGCCATTTCATGTACTTACCATGAGTTGGAATATGAGCTTGTTTGTCAAGCTTATTTCGTAAAATAAAATAAAAATTGTTCGGTATTGTGACAGCGTAAGAAAGTCCAAACATTAGAAGAAACTAGAACATGGTCTGAAGAGTTATATTAAAAACGATATTTTTTCACTATCAGGAATGGTTTTTTTCTTAAATTTAATAGGACCAGTCATGAAGTATAAACTATTTAATAAAAGAAGAATTTTTAAAATCGGTGAACATAAATATAAAAAAGCATACGGGTCGAGCCTACTCGTTTTTCGAACTCGGTTTGTTTTTTAAGTAAATATTGTACCAACAATATAGGGGGCCAACCTTAAATAAACATATTTTACTGTATTTTATTTATTAAAAAGCATTATAAACTAACAACAACTACTAGTAATGACACACAACAACAAAACAAACACGCAACAGCAAAACACAAGTGGCAAACTTGAGTTTCATTTTGAATATTTTTCATCTTTTGTGCCAAAAAATACGTTGGCCACTGAGAAAGTTTTGCGAAAGTAAAAAAAGTTAAATGGTTAATGTTTTTATTATTAAATCTCGTAAAAGAGTTCTCCACCAGCATTTATACAAAGTTAGTTGCGTCTGAACCAATTTTTGAAACACTTTTGTCAGTCCGTCTCAGACACCTCTTCTTCGGCCTGCTTGAACGCAGCGAGCAACTCTTTTGACGCCAAAAACTTTTATTTTAGAGAATATAAAAAAGCGACACGGTGCCATATTGTAGGTGTTAGGAAGGTGACACAAAACATTCACCGTGGTACGTCCTCCGTTTATGCGGGCGCTTTGTCATGGTGAAGCAGTAGTCCGCGGAGCCCTATGTTCGGTCACTTGTTGTTTGTAGCAGGCATTGATGCTTTACGAAATCGAAGTACGATTTTGTAAAGCAATTGACACCATACACCCTGTAAAATTGACATATAGTGAAAAACTTGCCATAAAATTTTCTTCGCGCTTCTCGATTGCTTCACTTTGGTAGGCGATGATTCACTTTGAAACTGCCACTACCGTCGCCTAGCGCTTCGTTTCTGGATTGTATTGATAAATAGAATATTCATCACCCGTAATAACGTTGCAAACATGCCGAGACGAGTCCGCTTCAAAAGTGATTCGGCATTAAATAAAAAATGGTACGCTTTTTTTTAACTTATAAGCCAATGCTTGACCACAATCGCATCTGGTAAATGGTGATGCAGCCTTAGATGGTAAATCGCACTGTCTTACCGTAACAAAAGCCTATTCACTCTTGCCCTGAAGACGTCCAGATTGTATTCGGAAGGAAAGATTGCTGTACGCATTACATGTGTGCAACACTCAATTATTCTTACGCGAAGGTGTTGATGAAAAATCTCGTGATTTCCTCCCGATCCAATCTGTAATATGTGCTGAATATCTTCATACAAAAAAACAACTTTTTGCTCCTGTTAAATAAGCCTTCAACGGCTATATTTAGGCATATAATTTTCTATGACAATTTTCTTAAGTTGTGATTAATTACTTTCGCTGTCTCATTACTTAGTCCATCAAAAAGATATTTCCCAGCAATTATAACGCAATCAAAGCATAGTTTGTTACTCTTGATACCATAGATGCTATTAATCAGCACCGTAATTATAGTCGACGCTCAATCTCTGCATTGCAATTAACAAACGCTAGCAGAGATGAACACGTGAACTTGTGTATCTTAATTTATCAAAGGTAGTCATAAAGTGGGAACGAGCATAGAAGAGTAAAATTTTGACAAAATATATGCCAATGTACGAATCATAAACTCAGAGCTAAATTGAACTTGATTAAAATTTATAAATGATAAATTAACAGGATTTATAGTTTGTTAGTGAGGCTTTTTAAACGGCTAATTATCCAGTTGAGTTTTAAGAAAATATAAATGAACGTCGTATAAACCAATGTAAACAAATAATAAATCGTAGTCGACAGTCTTTACTTTCGAGAAGGTTTTGGTTGTAACAAACAAAACGCTCTTAACTTCTGTTTTTAAAGTGAACCTGAATAAATAAGAAATACGTGTAATTGTTTAACGAAGCTAAAAAAGCACAATGCAGGTTTTCTTTTTTTGTATACTTTAAGTAAATTATGTTCGTAATTAATATTTACTTAAAGTTCAATGTATGTGTTTGCCATGAAAATATTTATTTAAATTAATTTATACCTAAACTAAACAGTAGGGATTTTCTTGGGTATTATTCGGCTAAACAAACACATAAATACAACATCATCATCACCATTACAGCCCTTCACAAGCTTACTCTTGAACATAGGCCTCCCCCAATAAATGCCAAAAAGCACGGTCATAAACCACCTGCATCCATCGACTTCCTGCATATCTTACCAGGTCTTCACTCCATCTACGAGTTGTGGGGGGCCGCCCTATACTTCGTTTAGCGGTACGAGTACGAGGTCGTCATTTGAGAACATTTCCACAATTATCCCTGAGCTTTTAAACATATTTTACATAAATCTTTTTTTGTTAATTGACCAATATGTTTAAGTTTATGATATTTAAACATATTTTAATTAAAACATAATGATTTACAAATAGCGCACTAAATATTTCGTGCATTTTTGGACATAAATTTCTGATCCGAGGATTTCATCCTCATAGTTTAAATATTAAACAACATTCGTTAATGGATTTTGAAGAGGAAGATCAATATTATTTTGGGCTTACAATAATTTCCACGCGTTTACTCAAACCTCCAACGTCTGTTTTGTGAGGGTTGTTTTGTTTTTACCCATAAAATCGTAGCTTTCTATATGCAGCCTTTCTATAATAATAACATACATGTCGTTAACTTTTACAGCCCTTTTGAATTAATTGCTTATTTATTTATTAAACAATGTCGCACATTGCCATTACAAAACCAAAATTGTGTTTTTAATATGCAGTAGCTTGTTAAATTGTATCGCTTTTTACACTCGTAATATTAGCTTGACCTGTATGTATGTGTAACGGAATGTTATAGTTAAAGATTCATCCACTTCACAACGTCTGAATAATCTGAAATTCATACTTAGTGTTCTTACTAGGATATCATCGTTCGTTCATTAGTGTTCTTAAACAATAATATTATTATTTAATTATAATTATTTAAGCTCTTAATGTTATTTATTATAACTGCTTATTGAATGTTTGTCGAATAATGTTAAATAATTAATCTAATCTAGTGTTGTCTAAAATCATTCAAAACAAAATAAAATAAAACATCTTAACTATGGATCAGCAATAATGTTTATCAATAACATCGTCACATATTTTATTTATAACAATATTAAAAAATATCTTAATACATAGTCCTTCACCCCGAATCATAGTGGCCAAAGGTTTCGGAGAGAGAAAAATGTAATCTAGTCCTTTTAATAACGTAATGTGATTGATTTAATAAGTACCTATACGCAGTAATATTATATATTATTTAATAGTATATAGTATTAGTCAATGAGCGTGACCAAATTACTATATTTTCCTTAGAACGTAAAAACGTAACGTAAGTTAAAAATATCCTAGGTTTAATTTTCAGCAAAATAATGAATATTATGTAATGTGTACGTGAAATAAATATATATTTTTGCCTCGAACTAGATTCATATCTACATAATTTTATACTTCTATGTGCCAGGAAGCACGGAGGGGTTACCTAACTAGCATTAATCTTTATTCGGTTATTTACGATAGCACGGCCGAAGTCAGCTGGTAAATTATCTCGGTTTAATACCCGCACAATTTTGGGATCTTTTCTTTTGGGTCAAATCTATTTAATCCGACCCTTTTATATTCTCATCATACAATATTATTTCCTTTATGCAATTCGGAATATTTTATATTTGTCACTTTTCACATTATTATAAAGATTAAATGAATTCTCAATAACCAAATAAGCCATACACCTATATATTTTAGGGGCGATTTTTTAATATTGAGATAAAAGTTATCCATCAAATAAATTATAACCTGACAGAACACGAAATTGTAACAATTGACCTATTTCATTTATATAACAATTTTGTTATTTGTTTATGTATTTGTATTTCCCTTTAATTTCAAAATTACAGATACATATTACTTGATGTTTATTTTCCGCAATTACATCATTTGCGTACATAATAATTTCATAGTTTTACTATTTAACCTACGCACAAGTGAAACGGCCATAATTTCGCAAACGCATATCCGGTAATCAGAAATCCGATACAAGTTATGATTTAGCGGCACATAGTCGTTTGTCGTACGCCATGTTGCGAAATGTAGTTTCAAATTGCGCGGGCGCAGCTCCTGTTATTTGTGTCGAGCGTAATGTCGGTAAATTATACTGTAGCGTTAATTATTTATCGGCACCTGGTGCAATCACTTTGCGCTCAAACATAACCCACGAGTATACTTAATAAGTACACCGTGTTCTGGCTTTTTGTATCAGTTTACAGTCGATAAGTAAAAACTTGTCTACAAAAACAAATATCCTTCTTAACTTTGAGCATTTATAAATAAATTAAGTAAATTTTTCTTTGGGATTTTGTGAACTTTGACAGAAAGTCGAATATTGTATGTCGTATACTTACGATATGCTTATCAGCTAAAGAGGAGTAATGCCAATGTTCAGAAACGAGATAGTCCTTTCTTGAGTAGGAGTCCATCTGATACATACGTGGTAGAGCCACTCTGCAGCTATACTATGATTGTAGCACGCATCCTGTAGTATGACGTAGCCACTTTCCATAAGTTAGTTCGTTTGTGACTTCAATTTTATACTTTCTACCAAATGTGCAAAAGGTATATATCTAGCAATGAACAGATGAGGGTGGTTTTTTATAGAAGAGTGTGTGACCAACGAGTACTCAGTCTACATGATGGTCAATAGATACTTTGGCCCATAGGCATTAGACGCCTACATTTTTCCTCAATTAAAAATCAAAACCCAGATGTGTTGCTAACCATGAAGTCTAAGGTGGAATAACTCAATATCAGTAGAAAGGGTCTCCGGTTCTCCTTGCTTCGTTTCGAAACACAGCAGCATCCGTCTGTTACATCACGATGGTGTTCTGTGCAAGCATGGACCTTCCCCGGTCGATCCAAGTTATTCATGCTAGGCACATTGCTAAAAGTTGTTGTTGATAAAGTTACATTGATAATGTGGACTTATCTTTTTTATATACATAAACTATATGACATCTTCTGCAAATGTCAGTTCCACTTGCATATAGTTGTTCCTACTGGTTGACAGACAAGGTTGTGAAGGTCGACAAACGCAGTATATCCATCTGAAAATGGCAAACCCAAGTCCCACTGACTAGTAATGGGAACCAGAATTACAAGTACGATGGTTTGTTTAAATAAAACTAGATTTTACGAATTTTATCGCGAATATTAATTTATTTTTATATTCCCGACGTTTTAAGCACTTCACTGCACCCATGGTCTGGTCATAGTCATGGTCACGAGGGGACTGAGGTAGTCAACCTCGATGTCATAAATAATCGAACGTAAAAACTAGTTTTTTTTTTAAATGTGTAGTGTTCGCGTAAATATAAGAATGGTTGTGCACTTACTAACCCATCTATCAAGCACGTTGAGTATGGACAAATCTTTTAAGTTGTGCATGCCATTTTGTGTATTTCAAAAAAGGTTGTATGTAAACAACAGTGAATTAGCAAAGTTGATTTGCATAAATGCATTTATGCCTATTTTTTTGAAGAAAATGATAATAATGACACTATTGTTTCCTTTAACAGATGGTTCTGCCATTTTGATGATGACAACTATGTAAATATACCGCGTTTGGTTAGCATACTGCAAAATTATAATCATCAAGAAGATTGGTATTTGGGACGGACATCGGTATACGAGCCGGTAAAAATTTACAAAAAGCCCACTAATAAGGTAATTTTTATTTCTTCGCTCATTCGTCCTTCAGTATAGGATTCTTTTTATATCGCAGAAATGAATATAATTTTTGTTTCAGTTAATGTTTTCTTTCTGGTTTGCTACTGGTGGAGCCGGCTTTTGCATAAGCCGAAGTTTAGCACTCAAAATGTTACCCGTGGCGAGGTAAAGTTTCGTTTAAACAGTGTTATTGAAAAGTTATTATTAAATAAATACATATTATTAAAGCCTTTTTTCTTCCAGTGGAGGCAGATTTATAAGTATTTGTGAAGGCATTCGATTACCCGATGACGTCTCAATGGGATTTATAATCGGTGAGTGAATATTAATTTTCATATGGATTATAGTACACTTTGCTCGTATAAGTTTATATTTGTATAAAAAATATATGTCAATTTGAAAAATTTACTCGTTATTTCAGAGCATCTAATGAAAAAGAATTTAACTCTAGTGCCGGAGTTCCACTCGCATTTAGAACAAATGAAACTTTTAATCCCCGAGACTTTTCGAGATCAAATTTCATTTAGTTACGGAAAGGCAAAGGATGAGTGGAATGTCGTTAATGTGCCTGGATTTGATACAAGATACGACCCTACCAGGTATGTTCTCATTTTAATTTCAATAATATATATATAATTGGCAATAATAAGCAAAACGAATTACATTTACATTATTATTCAAGATATTATTAACGATTTTATATTATTATAATAATCGACACACAGTGATATTTTATTGAAAAGTGAAAACAAAATTATTAAAAAAAAAACAGTCAGTCGTAATACTGCACATCAGAAATGGAAACTTCTTAGCTTCACAAACTTGTAAACATTATTTTTGAATTTTTAAGAAATATTTTTTTAGAAAAAAAATTTATTAGTAATTATTTTTAACAACTTATTAAATCTATATAAAATGTAACAATAATTATCTTATGGGATTCACAAATCTTCAATTTACGCAATATTTAGTTTAGTGTACCGATTGCAGTACAGTTCAATTGATCATAGTCAATGTTCGGAATGCGAAATATAGTGCGTAGTACATTTATATCGATGTATATAATACTTACAACAAAATTATAAATACTTATCAATTTTATAAAATTTAATCAATTGGATTTTCAACATTACTTTCATCAATTTTTTGTATCTGAGCGTGACGGTCACGCGAGTTCAGAGCTTTTCCCCAACCTAAAAGCGCCCAACGTGCCTACAGAAGTTTTCACTTTAAGAATAACCAAATCGTCTAACTTAAGTCTGAGCAAATATTTTATGAAAGGATATACTTTATGTTCATTTTCTTAACTTTTATTTCCACGAGTGAAATTAAAAAGAGCAAATTCTACTGAAATTCTTTTGCTGAAGATAAAGGCGAATTCAACGAATAAACCATTTATTGTTGCAGGTTCCTCTCGCTGCATTGTTTTCTCTTTCCCCATTTCAAATTTTGCCCGAGATAACTTCTGAGCACAAAGCGCCAACGTTCGAGTGAAATGTGTAATTTGCCGTACAATTAATTTAAACTATTTTATGTTCTTCCACAATAGCTTACATTTATATAGTCATATTGGCAAGTGCAATCAACCTAACAAAAGCCTTAGTATCCTACGAGTTCATTGAAAAATAACTTTTAAATGCTAAAATAGTTTTAAATTTTTACAATTAGCGACGCCATTTGAAAATCAGATTGAATACGAAATTAATACTCTTAACTCTTTTCAGGTGAAATAAAATATAGCAACTAGTTTTTGTAAGATCTGTGATATTAGAAATTATTTAATTGTAGATATTATAGTTATTCATATAGACAACATTTCACGTGTTGTATTTTATTATCTCCCAGTCAGAAATGTTATGACTTTGTTTATAATTCATGTTGTTTATTAAATAAACATTTTTAAATAATACAAATTTGTTTAATTTTTAACGTAATAAATTGCTACTTACAAGAAAAAAGTTTCTAGTATTAGGTGTTTAAAAAGTAACACGTTATAAGCAATTTTAGAAATTGTTCTTATTTTTTCATGAAGTCTACTGCTGGATATGGGTTTCTCCTGACGTAGGGAGGATTTGCCTTAAACGTCACGCTCGGCAGGCGGTCCGTCCCTGGTCTAGAATTTTTTCATAGAATACTAGCTGGTACGCGGCGCGTTACTATCGCGGAAGTAATAATTGTGGAAATATCGTTTTAAATTTGGAAGAGTAATATTATTTAATTAGGAATTATAATACGACTTAGGGACCTTCAAGAAAAGAGCCTACTCCTTTTTAAAAGGCCAGCAACGAATCTGCAATTCCCCTGGTGTTGCAGTTGTTCATGGGTGACGGTAGTCACTTACCATCAGGTGAGTCGCATGCTCGTTTGCTCCCTCTCCTATAAAAAAAAAACATTCATTTGAATTGAATGATACCTATATAACTTTCGAATAAATTTGTCAGTACGATACCCGTGCCACCTACTGCAAGTTAATTGTACTATGCCTATAACCTTCGCGCAAGTGCAAGCAATAAGTTGACAGTGTTTTAACGTAACATGGTAAACGGTATGGCAGCGCATAAAAATGAAAAAAACACCTAGTAGATGGTAAGTAGATGGTGTGGCTCATCTACATCCATCGTCGATTAAAAATCAAATTGCAGATGCGTTGTCACGACTGCACTGTGGACTATTGCCTCGTTTCCAGTAAAAAGGGTCTCCGGTTTTCTGCACTCACCATACGAAACACAGCAGCATTAAGCTGTTATTTTACACCGGTATTTTGTGAGAGTATGGTCCTTCCCTGGTCGAGATGACCAATTCGTAATATAGCTGCAACCTGGTGCCGTAAAACAAATCATATTATGGAATGCGACCACACACAACAACGAAACAGAAGTTTTGAATATATTTGTTGTGTTTAGAAACAGATAGGTAAGATTGTAGTGTTTGTCACTAGAGTTTGAACACTTATTTCGAAATAAAGTTGAGATACCATCAAAAATACTTAATAATTTACAATAAGTTAATTAAATGATCAAATTCCTACGTTATAAATAATCATAAACATACTATATAATTTAACTAGTTAGTTAGTACCGCCGTATGAAGCCTATACAAATAATACTATAGATATAGATCAGTGTGACATCTCCATAAGTCCGACTGACCGACACGAATGGCATGTAACGAATCGTCATCACCCGTCTGGGCGTCACCTTACGCGACAACCTGATACCACATTCTCGGAATGTAGGGTTATTGTACTCACGAACGTGTGAGATAATTCAATATAACATTATCTGCATAAATTTGTTCGTTTCTTATTATAAAAGGGCAAATCTATCTTTTTTATAATAAAATTCTAATACGACGTCTGTCTAAACACGCTTCACAACCTGTGAATCTATTTGGATGGGATGTTCACTGGCAGACAGTTATAAGGAATAACTTAGGCTACTTTTATTTTAGGGTTCCGCGCAAAAATATTCCACGCGGGCGAAGTCGCCGGGAACAGCTACGTTATTATATTTTACCAATACGGCTCCGTGGTGCAGTGGCTTAGCAATCAGTTGTTGCGCTGGGGGCCGCGGGTTCGAATCCCGCACGGAACAAGTATTTGTATGGCCTACAAATAATTGTACCGGGTCTGTATGTTTGTCCTTGTGCAATTTATGTTTGTAAACTGCCTCCACGACACAGGAGAAAATCCTAGTGTGGGGGTAACGTATTTTTTAAAAAAAAAATAAAAATAATAAAATAATATAATATAGAGTCGTAGATACTAAGCGAGCAACGCTGGTTCTGAACCTGACGTCCGTAAATAGTATCTATAAGTTCTCGTCTTACTATTTATGTTTTACGAAAAGCACGAGAGTTTATTTTGTGTAATTTTATATCACAATCTTCGTATTACCCTCATAAGGACTTTAAACATGCCATCAAGCAATAAATAGTATAATATATACCTAATGTGTATTATAAATACTTATTACGTCAGTGTGATAAGTTCTCGTACCATTTAAATGGTCTTTTGAAATGCGATAACAACGTGAGAAGACAAATGTCGGGTAATTTTATCCGATGGACGACTTTAAGATACAAAAACATATTATACATATAGTTACTGCATTATGGCTCTTGAATACATTTTGACTGAACTCCGTGACAGTGCATAATCAACCATAACTTCAATGAACTGTTTTGTGGGCCATGGTATCAAGGTTTCTTAATTTGTATAAGCTGATTTTAAAGCGTAAAATGTTCTCTATGGCTACTTTCAGTGATTAATTAGTGATTGATATGGTTGATTTGTTGCGCAGTGGCGGGTCTCTTCGACTCTTTTGGTAACACCTGACCGCAATCACTTTCCTTTAAAATCGATTATTACTTAATGCAAAGTCACTCTGCGTAATTGGGTTCTACCGATTTTTTTAAAAGACGCAACTATCATTTCCAACGTGATATAAAAAACGAATAGTATTATAAAAATCAAAAAACGTGATTAGACTGCTTTAACGTGTAGTAAAGACGATATTTGAATTAATTTATATTTATAGTATATTTCATGTGTGGCTTTAGTTGAATCGTTTAGTTCATAGTATTAGTAACGTAAACGACAATGGCGAAATAGTTTTTGATGAAATTATTAAGCGTCTACTTAAGTCACCATTAGATATCAATATAATAATTTACTAATTTGTATTTAACAAAATTTACCTGTTATTAAAAATACAGTCAACAATAACCAATTTTCTCTGAACTACTGTGCTTTAGCTCAATTGATACTATAAATCGTTTTTAAGAAAGTTGTAAGTTTTTAAATAATTATGTAATACACGCAACAACTTGTATCATAGTATTAAGTTGACAATCTTGAAGCTTAAAAGTCGGAATACTTAGTACTAGGTCCTGGGTTTTTATCCCAACTGAATCCACTATAGGAGCAAAAACTAAAATAAATTGTTTTCACATCTGATTATCATATTTGTGTTCCCGTACCTCTGATATTTAATTTTAACCTACCTTCGTAATGTTACGTCATAGGAGGTATGCTCGAAAACTCTCTTGAGAATTTAATATTCGCCATTCCAATAGTATTCAGCAGTTGCAGGTGTGATAAATGCGGTGGAAACTATCAGGATTCTCCTGATAGTTTCCAAATGTTTTACTATGAATTCATACAACGGGAAAAACCCACGTCTAATATATTGAAATATAGACATATATAAAAAGAAAGAATAATATTATAATATCGCAATCAGTTTCTAAGCACTTTAGGAATCAAATGTTTTTTTTTAGAAGTACAGGTGACAAACAAGCACACAGTACACACACCTAACGGTATGATGGTGGTGGCTCATAAAACCCTACATCGATACACAATTTTCATTCTTGAGGACTAATATAAATCAAAGATATTTTATACGAAGTATAAGATATAGTTCTATACGAAGTATATTATAATATCTTTGATATAAATGCCTCGTTTCTACACACAGCTGTATTATACTACTATTTTACGCTTTTACTCCATACGAGAGTAAATGGACCACCCTGATTGAGCCGACCCAATAGTGTAGCAGTCATACATTTTTATAATTGGTTGAACCTCACTGCAGCTATACGCTGCTATATATTGTAAATAATTCTTGAAGAAATAGATATATTTTTGTTGTTGTAAAAGGACTTGTTTCAATTACGAATAATTTTTGGAGGAATTCGTGAGTGTATTTAACATCTAATTTGGCTTTTAAGAAATAGATAATCTTTTTTAATACTTTACATCGTCCGTGCGTTCTTGCATTTTTTGTTATTTTAAGTTGTGAAATTTGGCTGACTTTAAAATTGTATTAATAATTCCTAGTTAAGGAAGCAATTAGCTTGGAATATAGGTATAAATTTTCCACCATACAAAGAGCAAGCAATAAAACAAGGCATTTACAACAACTAACGCACACAAGTACAGTGAAGCGGCAATAAACATGATTGTAAACGGATCGATTAATCAAACTGGTTCATTTAAGGGTTCTATATAAATATGATTAAAGTCACAAAGAGCTACGGTTGATCTTCAACCCATTCTTATTCTTTAGTTCTTTTTATGCGGAAGGTTTCGTTGTTCTTATAAGCATACGCATTATGTTTAAATTTATTTGTTTAGATTGCTTCGATGGTGAATTTTTATTTTGTAATGTACTTTATATGGAATCTACCGAAAATTGCTTTTCTGCCAAGTATGAACGTTAGATAATAGTTAATAAATTGAGAACTATAAAATAGTTTTACTACCTCTCATTAGTTTAGTGCAGGATGCAGCCAAATCAAAGAGATCGCAAGACGAAGGCGGCGAAGGTGAGAGAGTGAGGTAACCTAACTAAATGCATACCTTTCACCAGCTCCATCAAGCGTGTTAAATAGACGAAGTTTTGGACATTATTAACAGAAGCTCTATTGTTTACAACGTATAAAATGTAGATAAAT